GCCATCTTACCAGTCCCTTGACTTCTATTTTTAATAAGCAGTTAAGTTTTAATTTTAAGAGGTTTGGTAGTAGATATCATAAGTAGTATTTCTCCTTCATAATCACTGTCAACAATTACCAAATGTACAAATACACCTTGGAGAATACTACTCTTTTCTATAATACTATTACTCGTTTCTACAGTATCTTTTGGAATAGGGCGGAAAATTCCATTTTTAATTTTGTAAACACAAGTGGGAGCAAGAGCTGATTTTCTGCAGCCATCAGATCTAAAGCTGTGTTTTCACTTCCGGAGGTTGCATGGAAAAGATCTGTGATCCTGTGTTTGACTGAAATTCAGGCTGGCCAATGGAAACTGCAGGTATTCAGTATTGCTTATCGCTGAGCCCCTGGATGATGGACCCATTCTCTAGTTTCCCCAAGACTGTGTTGGCCATGCTTATCAAGTTTGGAGTGGCAGTCATTAGCCCAATGTTTACCTTTTCCACATCTCAGACAAAGTCCTGGAGTAGTTTTGTTACTCTTATTTCCTTTTTTTAAAATTATTATCTTGTCCTTTTTTGCAATCTTTTTTCATATGACCCATTTTTTCACACTTAAAACATTTGGTATGAGATTGTTTAAAAAAAAGACTGTAAGGCAGCCGCCAATAAATTAGCTTTCTATGGCTCTGAGCCAATATCAGCACAAGCCTTAATGTATTCTTCCAGTGATGCACCCTGTGCCTTTAAGGGACGCAGACACTCAGTATTCACATTCTCAGAAGCCAAAGTTTGTAACAATAACTCCCTCAAATCTGGTGCGCTCACTGCTTTGTGTATAGCCTCCCTTAATCAGGAGACAAAATCCACATATGGCTCATTATTAGATTGGAGAACCTTAGCAAGTGATTTTTGAGCATCCCTGGCCTTTCCACCCTTTCCCACGCCCTCAAGCAACAAATGCGAGTTTGCGCAATAGCCACATCTTCATATTGCAACTGGGCTGGACACCCAGCCAGGCCCTGACCCAGTGAGCTGATCTGATGAAACATGAACTGGGGGATTTTCTCCCCTGGTAACCCTCTCTTGAATATCTGCTTCATCTTTCCACCAAGTTCTAAACTGCAAATATTGGCTTGGCTCTAAAATTGTACGGCACAAAACTTCCCAATCATGAGGAATTGATCTATGTTCATTTGCTAATCCTTGCAATAATCCAATCACATAAATTGATTGCATACCATAGGCCATGACAGCCTGCTTCAAATCTTTAATAACCGTGAATGCCAGAGGTTGGGGTTCCCATTGCACATACCCCTGGGGAAGTTGAGCACTTGGGTGTTGTTGAACCACCACAGGAAAAATACCCAAAGGGGCAGAATAAGCCTCAGGATCTCCCTGTTGTCTCCCTTGAATGACAGCCTGAGATATCACACTTCTATACACTTTTATGGGGCCTTCCTTTTTGTCATATGGAGGAGAAGAAGGGTTAAAAGATGGTAGGAGCTGATTTTTTGTGAACTCAGATGGAGGAACTACAGGGGTAGAGACTTCCATTTTTTCAATCAATTTAGAAATCAATTGTGATAATTGTCTTACGTTGGCTCACAGGTCACTTATCTCATTCTTAGTTTCCTTTTGTTCTACATATTCTAAATACTCAGATTCTGAGGAGATGGTTTGTGATGTCATAAATGTCCTTTTAGGAGCTGGTTTGTCAGACTCATCCCCAGTGCAGCGCATGGAGAAATTTAAAGGACCAACACTCTTGGTATGCCAGGGAGTGCCTTCCTTGTAGGGGATCTTGAGGAGGTACAACCTTAGCATGCACCACAGAGGCCCCTTGTTCTACTTTTGTCTTTTTTTCTATGCTAGCCTCTGCATTTGAGAGTGAATAAGGCAAAAGTCCTAAAAAGGTGTCATGTGCAGATTCATATTTGTGCGGAAGCTGCTCTTGAGGCTTAGGCATATCAGCATCTGAGCTTGATCTTTTCAAATATTTCTTAGAGTCTTCTGAGTCCAACTGCAATGGCTCCAAGGCTAAGGAAATTAGACTACAAAGAGCCCACACATGAAGAGGAACTTGTTCCTCATTTTGATGAGCATGACGCAGCGTTCTCATAACTTGTTTCCAAACTTTTAAGTTTAAAGCATCCTTTCCCTTAGGCTGAAACCAGTAACAATGCCTTTTTATAAGGGAAAATAATTCCTTGAAACTCTTTGGCTTCACCTTTACAACCGCTCCTTTAAGTAACATCCAAATAAGACAGACATACTCATTCTCTACTGAAGCGGAGTTCCCCATTACTCTGAGTTTTTCCTGCTGGTCTCACCTACTCTGGGCGTACGTTTCCCACATGGTCAGGTCTCTCTTAACTCACCCCTGGTCATCTTCTGTGCTCCATGTTGGGCACCACTTGTATGTTACGGGTCGGTGCTGAAAGAAACAACGAGAAGACCTGATGAATGTAGCTTCAGAGGTCTCACTGAGATTAGTCTCTCTCCAAGCAAGCCCAGAGCCTCAGAAGCATCTCACATTTATTGAGGGTGAAAGGCAGGCTAAGGAATGTGTGTAATTACTTAAGTGGATACAAACTACTATCTCTGTTGACTTCCACCATTTGCCTAACTCTAGGCTCACACAAATGCTAGCCGACAGCATCCCAAGCAAGGGATCAAAGGACAGGGCGCCTGCAGGAGAAGCATCTGCAGCCTTGCAGCCCAGCTTTCCAGGATTTACAAGTGAGTGACAGCAGCTCTCCCCAGCTCTGTCTATTGCTCCCTGCTCTCTTGGGACATGAGGCTTTTGTCTCAAATCTATATTTCTATATGGTTGGAAGTAGGGTGAACATTAAAACTTTGGTTTCAAAGAATTCTTAAGAGCTGAATTAATCTGATGTGAAAACCAAATGCTTCTATGCAGTCTTGTGGTCTAGTTGGACCTCTCTCCAGTGCTAGGGAAGGGATCCTTCAACAGGAATCTATGTGAGTGACTGTCCAGTTCTGAGCTCGAACAGTTAC